AAAGTTATTTTATCTTCAGAAAAAAAACATGGTTCTGGTTGCAAGCAGAATGTTTTGTAGTCACTTTTCCTGAAAAAAAGAACATGGAGGAGGGACGTGTGTCCTTTATTAGCTTGTAGGGTTGGGTTGGTTTGGTTGATTTTGGTTTTATGATTGATTTTAAGGCAAATCTCTTATACTATAGTGGAGATTTGGACTTTTCTCACAGTGATTGAGAAACTGTCAGCTACTACTCTTCCTGGTTTTTGTTTATCTTCTGTTAGTACTTGCCCTGATCTTTTCTTTGTCATGCATCTGATTCAACTCTCTTTCTTCAATCCACCTACTTTCATTTACTTTTCATTTCAGAGATTTGCTAAATTGAATGATGTCAGTCAAAGTATATTCCACAGATTCTAGCACTGTTTATCAAGGGCTTTATGTTTATTTTTAATGAAGAGTTTATTTTTATTATCTTTTCTATTAGTATTAAAGCATTTTAAAATGTGTCTTTTAGATAAGTTAGAGGTCTTTAGAGATATCCAGATGGGCTTGACAGAAAAATCTTCAATGGTTTCCTGTTCAGACAGTTCTGCTACGGATGCCTCACTTTATCCACTGTAATTCTGTATCTCTGCCAATTTTATTTGATGTCCATCTCCAGAATGCCAAGATAATGTATCTGTTGTTAATGCCTGCAAACACTTTCCTGTCTTTTTCTGGCAGATTGCTGGGCAGACTATGCCCACATCCCTTCAGACTAGCAGCTATCAACGGTGCTCACTCTTCCTCAGTCCAAAGGTTAATTTGGTTTATTATTTCAAACTGGGCATAATAAACTTTACAAGATGATTTTTCTTCAAAGCTGACTGCTCTCTGACTTGGTCAATTAAACAAATCGTCTGTGTAAGCATTTGTCTTGGGTTATCATAGCAAGACAACTGATGCTGGATTCCACACTCACTGAGAGAACTGTCATTCTTTTCCATACCAGGCTTTTTATTCATTGCTGGAAATAGAATTATGTTGTTAATGATAAACTGTGTTACTCTTTCATACGCATCAACTTTGCTAGCTAAGCTAAAGTGAAAAATTTCTGTTCATCCATATCCCTTAAAAGACTGCTACACATTGTGACTCCAAAGAAGAAAATAGCTACTAAATGATGCTATACATTCTTTTGTTACCTGGGTAATTTGTTGCTTCTCTAGCTAAATTTTGTCATCCCCTCCATGTGCTCAACTACACCAGACTACCATCTGAATTCTACAACCAGCAGTCCCATATGTTGGATTATGCACAAAAGTAGGGATATACCTCAGAAAATGTATCTGTGGGTAGACTTCAAAACAACAGATGAAATGGTATCAGTATAAGCTTTTCCTATCATATTTCTATCAGATTCTCGTTACATTTCTAAGTGAAACTGGAGCCTCTCCTTCCAAAGGCAATACTAAACAAACAGGATTGTAAAAGGGATGCCATTTACAATATTAGCTTCATCTGCCTTACTCAGATCTTTACAGCAATCTCTCTCTATACATGTGCATTTGGCTTTCACAACAGCTATGTAGACCTTTCAAAACAGTTTTTGTTTTAAATGTCTTTTTGTTTTAAATGTCTTCGGTTTTTTAACTCATAGTACTTTAAGGCAAATAGTTTGTTTACTTCTCCACCACAGGAATTTAAACTTGTGGGTTTTTTTGGTCAAATTAATGAAAAGGAAAAAAAAAGTTCTCCTTGAGCCCTCTCTGATTGATAATCAATTCATCAGCATTTCCTTAGGAGAATAATTTAATCTCAAACATTTTATAAAATGTTTCCTTTTTCTCTATTTAGTAATTGGACAAATCTTACTGTCATTGCAGATTTAGTTTAGTACTTCCCTTTGTCAGCTTTCATCTGCTAGTTTTTCTTATATTTGCTAGTTTTTGCTTTCCCTTCCCCAGATACTGAGAGTCTATGATACTGTACAGTGGATAACATCGGTCTTGAAAAATCCATGTCTCTGAAATCCCACTTTAACCTATGAATTACTGCTGTGGGTGGGAAAATGTTTGAAGTTTCCACATACCTCCTGAGCAAACTTGTCTCTCTTTCAAAAATACCAAAATCTGCAAGTGCTATTCAACTGAATTTATTTGTTTTGAAAAAATTCTGTTGTGTTTTTTTTAAAGACTAATAGACCTTTCCATTTAAGAATTAACAGATGTATATAACAGCCTCTCAATACAATGTTCTTCATGTATATATCAGTCAATAGTAAGCTATTGAAATAGATATAAAACTAAGATCAGTGTGCAAATTCTACAGTTAAACTGATGTAATTTTTAAAAGCACCTCAGTTTTAATAATTGCAAATATATTTCATTCAGAGAAGGGAACAGAAGCTCCAGACCTGGTCAGGTGCTTCTAAGTATATTTATCTCCTTGAGATGGGCATGTTAATAATTAATTTTAATTTCCTAAATCCTAGTGATACTGCCTGTTAAAGTAAAGCATTTACTTTGCAGCTTTGGAAGGTGGTAGCACAACTTAGTTTATTCTAATCTCTTTGCAGGGATTCCAGTGAAACTGATGATTCAATATTTGAAAACTCTTAACATATATTAGATTTGCGCACAACAAAAACAAAACCAAAAGCTTTAAAGAATTCTATGAGACAGATTGCAATGTTGAAAAGTTAAAAGTATTTCTTTTTCTGAAAGTATGAAATTAACTTTTTCAGAAAAGAACGGTAAGACGAAATCTTGAAGTGTATAATTCCTTTCTGATAAAGCAGTCACGTGGTTAGATACCTCCACAACTCATAAAACAGATCCCTAAGGATGAGTATTTAGCAGTGATGCTACACTTTGAAATAGGTAATTCCTACTTACATTTTTTTATGCTCATACTTCTCTCATGTAAGGTGGATTAACACAAATTAATGTTCACACTAATCCATCTATCACACCAAGAATGCCTCATTAAGCTTTGCCAGCTCCAGACAATTCACAAAACTAGTAAAAGCATTGCCACAGTAATTATACTGGATTTTACAGTATAAGGTGCTAATATGGCAATTTTGCCTACAGAAATTCATGACAAGCATTTTAACCAAGAATAAAAATAGTCACTAAAGAAATTAGGATGAATTACAATATTTTACCAGTGAAAATTTAATTTGAGCAGAACACCCTGAATATAATTTCAAATGTGCTTGTAAGGAGAAACTTTGTACTCAATATTGACACAGAAATGTGAAGACAGTACAGAAATTTTGCACAAAATTGTTGTTTTTACAGTGTCTTCATCATTGTATTTATCTAATTTACCTAATTCCAAATCTTGTGCTTTAAGCAGAGCAACTTTCTGATATGCAACATTTCTGAAATTTAAGTTAGCACAGTTTCTAGCAAGTAGATATTGGCTTTGTATTAGAATTAAAATGAAAATTATTTATAACTGTCATTTGAAGTCGCTGAAGCATCTACATTCTTGATTCTACTGCTTCCTATTTTTCTTTCAGAAAGACTAACACAAATGCAGAACAGAAACAGGAGACATCAGAACTTTTCATTGGGAGTTAATTTACTATATAAGCCAATTAAACAATTTGAGGTAAAATTGCAATCTGAACCAGAAGAATTAAAAAAACTGTTAGGAGAGAGGGAGATGATTAAGTCATTAACCCTCTTGGACAGAGAGAGAAAGCTAAATATTGATTTTAGAACACTGATGTCTTACTTAGATGTTAGGTATGAAGAAATTTATTGTATGCCAGAAAACTAATACATCTGCTGAACCTGTGATTTGCAATTTGTTAATCTGTTTTAGATTTATGACTCCAGAGTCAACTTTTGAAAGTAATTTGTTGATTTCCCTTAGGAATAGGGACTAAGGTGTGGGGAAGAATGGTTTTGTAAAGAATGCTACTGATTACAAAATGCTTTTATTTTCTTTATTTAAGGGTTTTCTGTTACTTCATAGTTGAATGCTTTTGCTCATAGAATTTGTGATACAACATTTAGTTCCCTGGGTAAAATTAATTGCATTCTGTTTGGATGTAGGCTATCCGTTCATGACGTTTGACATTTATTGTACTGTTACTGGAGATTAATTGATAATCTCAAATCTGTTATTTTGGCAACTTCTCATGCCATATCAAAATGCATAGATGACAGAAAACTAGAGAGTGGGAATAAATGTCTTAGGGTTTAGTCTTGTAGCACTGGTTAAAAGAGCCTAATTATTTTCCATATAGATTTCAAGTAACAGGCATTATGTCAATGACATATTTAATCAGTTTATATCTGAAACAAAATTTAATCACCTTATGTACCTTATTACTTAACAGTTTGTAGGATATGATGTAGCTTGTATAAAGCTAAACACTGAGATTTTTAAAATTTTTTTTTTACAGTTGCAGATCTAATTATTGGCAGCTAAAATTCCTTTCATCTTGGTTCTTATCCTCACTGTAAACACAAAGATTTTAGTTGCTTTATTGTGTTTTAAATGCAGATACTCATGATAAACATATGCTAAATGTTTACCTTACTTGAGCTTAGACCAACAATCACTCTCCTGATTTGTGGTCCCAGTTATTCTTGTGATCTTAATTACTCTTTATTAATTTTTTGAACCTGATCAAGGAATAAAAAATAAAATAAAATTAAGCTAAAAAAAGACCACTAGGAGAGTCAGAGAGTTAAAGATTTACCCTGTGTTTCAAGTCCACATTAAAAGTTCAACTAGGAAAGTATGTAAAGGACATGAAAATTAACATAACAAAAACACAGTGGGACACAACAGAGAAATACATTAGCTGTGTATGAAAAGAGTAATACAGATATTTTTCTGCTATCAGCTAAAGAAAACCAGAAGTCGAATTATACTGTATTATGCTCACAGTGATTTAAATAACTAAAAAAATGTCTAAAAATTCCTTAAACTTCTGGAATGTCTAATATCCCTGTAATCCAGAAGCTCAGACTCCATGGCCATAAGACTTTAATTTTTCCACACACATCACTTACCTTTTATCAACTCTTCTTTCCAAGTTGTCATGAAAGGCAAAGGTGGCACTGGTAACATTTAGGCACATGTTACAGATATGACAGGACATACGGTGACCTTCTGTCATCCAGCAGTCATCTAAAGAATGCCTTGGAGGTAAGACAAAGGTGAGTGGGTTTTTTTAAAAGAAAGAAGTAATACCTTCCTAAAAGCTCAATAATCACCAAAATAATGAAATAAAAAACCTATTGAACAGCAATGCTGCTGCTTACTTTAAAAAAGACTTTGAACTTACACAGTATAAGTTAATTAATTTGTGGGCTAAAACAGTAAATAAAAGTTTTAGCACGCAGGCACCTGGTACAGCACTCTTTTCAGCTGCAGCCAGTCTCTGCATACTTTGGATGAAATCCAGTTTTCAAAATTGTGTGTTGTTTTTTGTTGATACCCATTGCAGTTGTTCCTCACATCATTATATACATGTGCAAGACAGCAAGCACACCCTATAAGCATTGCAACCTGCTATCATCTACACGAAAATAACTTCTCGATGTTTTTTGGTACACTTTCAGATTGCTGTTAACTTGAACAGTATTATACAACAGCATGTGGTTGTATTGCAGGCCCAAATAAGATGTCTGAGAATAGAGTACAAGATATTTTCAATTAAAAGAGGAAGAAAAATAAATTTAGTGTAGTATGACACTTGTGCTTGCAATCAATAAAAGATATTGCTTAAACTTAACACCTCTGAAGGAGGGAAAGCAGAACCCTGTATGTCAAGTTCTTCTTTACTAAAGAGCATTATAATCCTTGAAAATACCTCAGAGAGCAAACAATAACAAAAGAACACATTCAGACTAATTGTACAGGGGACAATCATTTTCCCTTATCCTTTTTTTATCCCTATTTTTTTTTTCAGAAATCAAATATTATAATAGGCAATTTTACTTAAGGAAAGAAGATACACAAGAGTTTACAAAGACAAATTTGCTGGTAATGTTGCAATAACACAGGGTAAAAAAGAAAAGCCACTTACCCCTAGATTTATTTTTGTCAGAAGAACAAAAGTGGACAGAAGGAAAAGTCCTGTTAAAAATAAGGAAATTAAATATACTTCAGTCTTGATTCTGTTTTATTTACTTTTTCCCTGTTTCAATGTTATAATGCAGTTCAATTTTTTTCAGACCAGAGTGGTTCTGCTATTAAAAACGACCTCTCCACTGCAATGAGAGAAATACAGTAATTCATTCCAACAAGTTTCAATAGCAAAAAAAGCATTGGAAATAAGGTTAATTTCACTGTACTGTATTTAAACTGAATAGGAGTATGTTTATAATCCTCAGCTATGCTGCCCCTTGAGGTTGCAGCACATATTTCACTTCACCCCTTCTACTAATGTAGTACAGACTGACATTTTGCAGCAGAAGGTGACTGGATGATTTTGTAGTACTCTTATGAATGTTATCATATCCTCATGTCATTTCTTGGGCCAAAGAAGTCAGTGTGCTTAATTATTTTCTTTTCTTTATTCACGTGGGAAACGTTTCTAGTAGTTGGACACCACGATGTGAACAATGTAAACTTATCACTCTCTTTAATTTGGTGCTGAGAGCTCAAAGAAAATATTTATTTTATGGCTGTATTTGTATTTGAAAAAACAAAACCTGGGAAAATACTATTATACAGTAAGTGTCGTACCTTCATGTATCACTGCTGCAAGAGAAGAGATACAAATAAATCCTTTTAGAGATGGTATCCATAGATATTGCTTATCTGTACAGAAATGTACACAGCCAGTATCAGAATTTCTTCCACTGCACCAGATCTGATACAAATGCTCATTTCAACCATCACAAGGGTTTTTCTTCAAAACAGCGTAAAATCCAATGTGCTAAGAAACAAGTAGCATAGTGAAAGCAAATGAACTGTTAAAATGCACAGACAATTACTGCTCCAGGCTAAAAGGGAGATCACTGGCCAGATACTTGAAGGGAAGCACACTTTGTGGTTACTCACTGAACACTTCTCTGACTAGTCAGATGTCTAAAGCCAACAGTCTCTCAATCATATTTAAATGCAGATCCAAAGTCTGTCTTTACACAGGAAAGCAAGCTGGGAAAAAGCTGAAGACCTTCATCACATTTGTAATTTCTGCAGGTAGGAAACAAACAAACCACCCAGCACACATCTGATTTCAGTGCAGTGAGAAAGCATAGAAGTATTGCCAAGGAAATTATGCGAATGTATTGTCCCATTCTGCTTCAAAAAGTGTAAGCATAACATTCTGAATACTTGTGCAAGCCTTAACTTGCTAGGTGGTCTTTTTGTAATATAATGGCTATTATCAGCTTCATCTGTGTTTAACATACAGTTGTATTTTAGAAGTCTTAGCCCAAATAGGCTTCTCAAGCAACTGACAGAATTTTCTAATGTTAAACACAATTCTAAACAAGACCTTTTTCTCCAAATGCTGGTTCTAAATTTATTAAATGGAGAGAGGGAACTGTTCTGTACCCTGTTCCAGAGTAACTCCTAAACACAAAATATAAATGAAATTGAAATACTGAAAAAGGACCACAGACTGCAACATGTAACACGTATGCAGAATTTCTGCAACAATTCACTTACTTTGGACATCACCTAATTTGCACATCAATAGATATCACAAAAAAAAACCACACCAAAAAAAAAAAAGTAGATTCTTTTAAAATTATCTTGAAGAGTTTACATTTCCTAATACAAGCAACGTTATTTTGAATGTTTATATCAAGTATGTTTTATTTCACAAGTGATTTATATAAAGAAAGAAGGGTATGGGAAGGAAAACGTGCCCTGGATCTACATAGCATGGGATCTATCTGAAAGCACCTACTTGATTCTGATAACACGTGAGGTTTTATTAGAGTCTTCAAGAGGAAATAAATTTTCTGAAACCTAGAATTCCAGGTTCTGAAATTCAAGGGGGTTTTGAAATTAATTAGATCAGCTTGAAGTGAAAGGAGCTGACTGGTAGCAATTAGCAGATATTTCTGGTAGCTCAAGACACAGCAAGAATTGTACTTTGTAATTAACATTTTTGAGCTTTTTTTCTTGGATTATTTCCCACCAGCACAGCTTTCTCATAAATCTGAAACCAATTTGCAAATGTCACTAATTTAAAAACATACTTTTATTACAATGACATCTTTACTATGAAAAATTACGGTGAAAAATACTCGTGTTCCTAGAGTTTCATTCACTATCTATATAGAACACTAAGTCTTCATTACAAATTTATTTCTTCTGCTTCTCAAGTGCTCTTTGATTTTTGTTTTGGAATGTTTCTCAAAGACTGTTTTATAATGAAAAAGCAAATCTAAATCTTGTTATAGATATACGGATGATACAGGTCAGGTTTCGAAATATTGTAACTACATACTGTTGTATGTTGTGTAAAATTTTTTCTATCATACTTTCATTGTATTAGATGAAATTATTTTAGGCACTTATTTAAATACGTTCACACAGAATTTGACAGATTTTTCCACTGATGAAGAGTTGGCATCTGTGGGAAAAAAAGACAGAACCATATAGAATCATGGTAGAATTAACAGAAGTTTCAACAGCTTAAACATACGTATTATAATAGCATACAACATTATTCGAGAGAGTGGAAATATGGCTTAACACTGAACCTCATGTTTTCTGCCCCTGAGTCTTAGTGTTGGGGATTTTTCTTATAATGATGTTTTCAGCTGCAGAATGTTTTGCATAGAACAAATCGAGTTCAGTAGTTTTTGGTTTCTAAGCTGTGTTTGCGGAGGAAATGCACGTGTTAATTTTGAAGACCTTTGTCTACATCCTTCCTGTCGGCCATCACAGGCACCACGTGGGAGCACAGCCTGTGGTCTGCAACAGCCATGGGTTGTACCTGGGTTCACCTGGGCAGAAGGTGAAAGCTGAGAGAGCACAAAGAATTGTACCTGTCTGTCTTCTCATTCAGCTTTTCCCCTTACCTTCCACTGCTCACAGACAGCACCACTGTGGGTCTCTGACAAACACAGTTGATCGCTAAGGAATTGAAGAGATGAGAATGCAAAAGTGTCTGGCCTTGCAATGGCACACAAAGGAAGCAGGTAAGACCAAAAAGAAGATTGGAAATAAATAACTGGGAATTCTGTAATATGGTATGGGACTTGTTCAGACAGCTTCTCGTAGTGTTATACTATCCTTCACCACCTACCGCATAGACAATTCCCCAGGACCCCTGCTAAGTCTGAGCATGAGGACACACTACAGATTCCTCCAATTGGATACTACAAACAAAATTACTGTCAATTTAATAATAACTTTTTTTGGCTAGGGAAATGTTTAATTTCATTCTCTTCTCAAACAGATGATGACTAACCTCCAAGGTCACAAAATAGGTTGAGACTGTTGCCCACTATTAGTTGACTGCAGGCAGAAGCTGCTCAGTTTCCCAGAATAATCAGAAATTCAGTTTCTCAAACAATGTGGGGTTGAGGGGTGGAAAATGAGGCTGGGCTTTAAACATTTAAGCTATGAGGGAAATATCTAGTTAGTTATTTAGTTAGTTACTGAAGTTGTGCTTCTCTAAACAGAGTAGGAGGAAGAGAAAGAATAGAATGGAATATGCTCCTCCCAGTATAAAGAGTCAACAGCAGGATGAGAACAGATGAGAAGGAAGAAGCAAAGCCATCGGCATCTTACCTCCAGAGGAGCTGAGATGCTGCCAGCTCAGGAGGTTGCTAACTCATTAGCCAAGACCAGCACTGTGTTCTCAAAGACTTTAAGAAACAAGTGAAACGGTGTCTCTAAGTCACCTTCCAACTGCTTCTCAATTAAGAAAGGAGAAAATTATGTCTTATTAAGGATGGTTTCTTCATAACATAAGACACGATGTGTACATTATGGTGAGGCCTGTTGTAAATGCTTTTTGCATTAGGATCATTTCAATAATGTTTGTAGTTTTATTAAGCTACAACTATAGGTCAGCTGGCTTTTGGTCCTCACTATTGACAGTAATAGGCATTCACTTTATCAAAGGATGAAAATAATGTATGCGATGAACAATGAGTTTCTGCTAAAAATACAATTCTTACTTGCTGTTTCTCTGTTATTACTTTCCCAAACTGCAAACAACATCAGTCATTGAAGACAAACTGCTGTGCTATGACAGAAAATATATGCTTGCCTTACAGTCATGTTTTTCTTCTTTTATAATGGACATTATTCATGATGGAAATAATAAATCTTAATGACTGGTTTCAAGAAATTTGGCATCAGACAAGTTCATATTTTATTCAATGTTTTAGGAATTGTTTTTCAGAAAAAAATGGTATAGTAAATCAGACCTTGAGAAGATTATTCATCCATAGATTCACAAGCCGTTCGGAGATGATCATTGTGACCATGAAGTTTGATCTGAGGCATGCCACAGGCTGCTGAAATTTTCCATTGCCAAATTAGGAACTGGAAGTATTGCCCTTCCCCCTTTTCTTAAACATTAACAGTTATAGCCCTAATGTCAAAATGGAAGCTTTTATCTACTACAAAGGAAAGGACCATCTAGTGGAAAGAATACAAGACTATTTCTGTAGAAGGCTTGCAGATAGAATTTATTTGTTAGGACTGTACATAGCATTTTTTAAGTCAATAAATACATAAAATTATAGAGATCATGTAAAGAGTGTATAGATTTTTTCCACAAAGGGCTTTTTAACCCAAAGTGTCAATCCTTCTCTTCTACTTTTGTTCAGTATTGAGCTGAACAGAGTATAGGAGCCAGACTGGAAATTATATTTTTCTCATGAAAAGAATATTGATAGTCAGGGATAAATTAATATATTTCTTGATGCATTAAATCATTAAAAGAAAATAAAAATGTGAATCATATTATAATCTAATAGGCCACTATTATGCCCTCAAGCAACAAGAGGAAAACTGATCAGATGACTGCAGTCTGGTGAAAGATTTTCTTAAAATTAGGGAAGTGTTAATAATCAGAGAGAGAAGAGAGGCTGAACTACCAAAACAACATCTCTCACCTGTGTCTGACCCCTGTAACACATTCACATCTTTAAATT